ATCGTTGAACGAATCCGCCATCATCACAAAATTAAGGCCATCTCCCTCAAAGACATCTCTGACCACATCAACCAGCTCAACACTACGCTCCAACCCGACACCTTCTCCTCACTGCGTACTGCCCAGACCAAGGCCAACAACAAACTGCACACGAAGACAAAGGCCAACCACATCAACAAGTTTCAGCACCACAAGTCGCCTTAACATAAAACAGCACCACTGTAAGACCGTTGTCGACCTCAGCAAAAAGCAACTCACCACAGAACAGACCAACGTCTTGTCCAGAGGCCTGAAGTACATCCCCACCAGACCACTATGGAACCACGATGACTTCATCTCCAACATCGAGAAAGGGCTTCAGCAACTTGCACCAAGAGGTAAGGTTGACTATCTGCGTCACCAGATCTGTGACATTCTTGCTAAAACCAAATCGCAAACCCCTAAACTCACCAGAGCTGTATCTAAAGCCATTAAACTCCGAGATGACAATACCATCAACATTGCCCCTGCTGACAAGCGCAAAGCCACACTCATCATGGACACTGACCACTTCCATGAGCTACTGAACAACATCCTCCAAGACCCCATCACCTACTCCAAGATCAAGAAGGACCCAACCGCCAAACTCCTTCACCTACATAAAACCCTCCTCAAACAACTAAAAGACAACTTTGAAATCAGGCAAGTTCTTCACCACCAACTCTCCGTCAATCACCCCCAACCACCAGAGCCACCATCAAAATCCACAAGAACCCTCTACCGTCTACTTGTGTGTTCCCGAGATACTGTCTTCTTCAAAACGGCCTAACACCTAACCAGAATCCTTGCCCCCTTAGGAAAAACAGCCGACTCCTTCATCTCTTACTCCACAGACTTCTGCTCCAAACTCAAGAACATCACCGATCCAGATCAAATCATCAGTTACGATGTAGTAGACCTCTTCACCAACGTACCCTTAGAAGACACTCTGCAAATTCTCCGCCGTCGCATCACTGAAACTCCTCTTGAAACCAGCCTATTCACTGAATCTATCATCGCCCTCACTTTACCGCCTGTATCTCCTCTACCTACTCCACCTGGGGCGACGAGTACTACCAACAAATACACGGCCTACCCATGGGATCCCCACTCTCTCCTTTCCTTACTGAAATATACATGACCTACTTCGAACAGCAAGCCCTCACCACATCACCCATCCAACCTATTTGCTGGTACAGGAAAGTTGACGACACTTTTGTCCCCCTAAAACAAGACAAAATCCCAACCCTGCTACTACAACATCTTAACCAACAACACCCCCGAGTACAGTTCACCATCGAAATAGAAAAGGACAACCAACTACCCTTCCTAGATGTCCTCGTCTCCAGAAGCCCAACAAACAGAATCCAAACCAGTGTCTACCGGAAGCCCACCCACACCGACCAGTATATCCACTTCAACTCCAACCATCCCCTTAGAACCAAGACTGGCATATGTCCCCCCTAACCAAACGAGCCATCAACTTTTCTTCTGCTAACCCTGAAACCTGAGATCGAACACCTCCGCCAAATCTTCACACACCTCAACAATTATCCACCTAATCTCGTCGACAAAGTCATCACCTCTGTACCCCATCCCACACCCAAACCCTTAAACACGAATCAGCGCCCTTCCGCATCGCCCTCCCGTTCATAGGAAAAGCCTCCCACATCATCATCCGTCTCCTCTAACAGCATGCCAACATCGACACCCACTTCACCAGCTCCAACTCCCTCAAGACCCTGCCGAGAGCCAACGGCAGGAACACAATCTAACCCCAAGAGCCTAAAGGTGTAGTTTACAAAATTGACTGCAACTGTGAACAATCTTACACAGGTGAAACATCCCGCCCAATCAATACCAGAATGAAAGAGCACACAACCTCCACCATTAAACCCGACAGTAAATCAGCCATCTCGGACCATATAAGCAAATGTCCTTATCACAACATCAACTTTGACGACTTCCAAATCCTCTCCAACAACCTCCATGATTTCACTAAAAGAAAACTAACTGAAGCTGTCCACATTCACCTCCACAAGCCATCAATCAACAGAGATCAAGGTTATTTCATCCCATTCGCCTACCATGAACTCATCAAGCAATAATCACTTATCCTGTTTAATTGGCTTCAACCTATGTGTTCTCTGTCCACCGTGTTGTGACAGTATTATCCCTTTGTTGTCAACACCTACCTATGTTATCCCACTCATGTATGCAATTGTTGTTACTGTTAATCCCCGACTATATATATTCTGTACTATGTCCCTCAATTGATCTATACCGAAACGTCGCTTTTTACAGTATTAAAGAAGTTGTTATCCATATAATTGTGTCTCCCTTGTCATCCGTCAACTTCTAAGTAATGCCTATCAAACAATTTAAGACATCGACGTTTGAATTATGAAGGAGGTCAATAGTGACACGAGCTGTGTATGGTGCAGCTTTGTCATGTTGAAACAACTCCCTCCATCGGCTGATAATCGGAAGAAGGTGACGTTGAAGAATTTGGTCGATGTACGGATTTGCTGTGAGATACCCCTGAACCACCACCAAATCAGAACACCGCACGTAGGATATGGTCCCCTTCGCCTTTACACTTCCGCCCGCCATCGAATCTGTCGACGGTGCAAAAACGTTTATTTCGACGTCGGTGGACATCTCGACGTCGGTAGGAGAAAAGAATCGTGATTCATCACTGAACCAAACCCGCCGCCGGTTTCTCAGAGACCATGGGGGTACGGTGTTGCTCCATCGCATCCTGTCGTCGATGCAAACGTCTCAATGCAGGAACAAACACCGGTCTTCTGGGTCTCATTTCTACCTCTAGCACACGATTCCTGATTGTTTGGATAGGTACCCTCCTCAAACCAGGCACATTTCCTGCAGTCTCGGTGGCAGTAGCATGTCGATGACGTAGTAAAAGACCGCATGTAGCGATCTTGTGAAGGGGTGGTGACTCTTGGTCTACCACTTCTAGGACGATCTTGGGTTTGGATTGTGGTGGGTACACCGGTACCAGTAACGAGGTGTGTAGCTCTGGTGTACGTTGAAATGACGAGCAACTGCAGACTCTCCATCTTCAAGACGTCCTAATGCGATGTTGCGATTGGCAGTATTCAATCTCCGCACCTTCCCACTTCCAATAAATCGACAACCTTATGTCAAAATGTTGACTGACGTTTGACCATTACAGTCATTGTCAGTGCGCAGACAATTGTCACAACTTGCACGTGCATTGTGCTTTTAATTGTCTTTCCATGACATTTTCGTGCTGTCTTATGTTAACGAACATGTGACTGACATCCTTCAATCTTTTCTTTTTCTATTTTTGGAAATTTGTTTCTTTCATTCTTGTTTAACGCCCCACTCAGAAATATTCCAACTATATGACGGCGATCTGTAATAATCGAGTCTGGACCAGACAATCCAGCGATTGACATCATGAGCATCGGTCTAGGTAACTTGGATACGATGACACGTATCAACGAAGTCAGTGAGCCTGACCACCCGATCCCGTTAGTCGCCCCTTACGACACTCACATTCGCCTTTAACGGTAAGCATGGGTTGCTGAAGACCTGTTCCGACCCGGAACAACGAATCTAGCACTCATACAAACATTAATCTGTGATACACTTTCAGAATAATCCTGACCACGGACATATTCACGCAACAGATCTTAGATCAAACACGGTAGACAGCCTCTCTCAGTCAGTTTCACTTTACCACAGATGGACGTGTCAAATATCACACAGAGGAAGTCGTTACATAAATTATGTCACCGATAATGTGCTTTCAGCTTTTATTCTTTATAATAATAACTTCAAAAGACCGATTGACATTACGGAACACGAATCATGATATTTAAATATAACCTTTCAAAGGCTCGTTTCCCGAGAGTAAAACATCAAGAATTAATAATACAGGGAAAGAGTGTCGCAAAATCTGAGTCGAGTGTAGTGGTCCGCAGTATACCAATAGTTATGCTAGAAACGGAATATTGCTAAAAACGGCATACACCCTGCCTCCCTATCACTACCGTACTCGATGGTTTCTCTCAGTTATTTACAGGATGGAGTGATATAGTTATTTATGATATTTAATATTTCTGACTGAACGACACACATGTGCATTAGTAACGCTGGTCTCGTGTTTCATAGTCCCGATGGTGTATCTATTACTGTATGTATAATACAAGGTCAGAGGTCAGAGCCTCGTTTCGGAAATTGACCATGCGCGAGTGGTTATCAATGGCGCCGCCCTGTGTTCTTCTCCCTGAAGATAAATAAAGTCTTCTTTTCACTCCAACTATCATCATATCGTTTGTAAACAGACCAAGGAGCATCTTGACCAATATAGATAGCACATGGAATTTGACTTGTGTTCATTTTGTTTTCAATGTGACGATTCATTGGAACACCATACTTACATATAGATATCCTTTTTTACAATTCGTGACCAACTGATATTCCGGGACAAGACGAATAGCGAATCGTTGCCATTTTTGCGACCGAGTTCCCGCGTAGCGCAAACGGGCATACCTAGAACAATTGTCAACTCGATGCATAAAGGTTCACATATATTTCCCCATATATTATATATATTTCAGATGCAATTTAAAGCACATCGGGACGTGCTCAATTATACATTATGAATGAACACATGTAACGGTGTCTTGGGTATATTTTTAGATGCAAGACGTATGTAAAATCAAAAATTATTCCCGAGGGATTCTTTGACGAAGAACTCGAAGTCAAACGCGCATTCTGATTGGTTTGTCGTATTTTCGCACATAACATTCATCGATAGGGGGACGAGTCTTCTTGCAGGTTACGGAAAGGGGCGAGTGGTGGCGAATGCCTGTTTTACGTTTCCCCATGAAAACTGCATTATACAAAATGTCAAATATCACTTTACATACACACGAAAAGAACCCCTAAGTACTGACGTTGTCATAAAAGAATAACATAAATGTGAGACCCTTAGTTTAACAAATATTTATTTATTTTATACTCCAAAATTAATATAATCGCGAATATGAAGGGCGAATGAGGTCTACACTTTTTCCGATTTCTAGATGAGAATGAAATAAGCGTTGTCCGTTCACGTTGAAGAAGTTGCAGCATGATCCGGCTCTATCAGCCAGTGTGTTTCTGCCTCGGGTGAATCTCGGAAGAGGTCTGGTTCATCAGCGCCGTGCTTGATGGTCCTGCAATGTAGATATATGTTTGTAGTTTGCATTTCAGTGACACATCCACCCTGGATTAACATTTTTGTTCGACTTCCTAGCATATACTTTTTATTCGGAAAATGACTTGTCACTTGTCCTTAATAGATGAAATACTGTTCAAAGCAGCGTGAACGTACTAAAACATCACAACACCGAGTCCACTGCTTGTTGTGGCATGCCAGGTTGTTGAAGCGCCTATAAAATCTGGCTAGCTATTGTCATACACGCCACAGACGCGGTGAAGTGAAATTGGGTTTAACGTTGCGTTCAAGATTATTGCACTTATATAGCGACTTATATTGTGCGTGCGTGTGTGTGTGTGTGCGTGCGTGCGTGCGTGCGTGCGTGTGTGTGTACTAGTCAGGACTAGTTTCGGTATAATATAACTGGATCACTGCTATACCACGCCGCAGTATAACATGTATGCCCCACTCATTTATACTGACTCCGAGCCGATCAGTCCTTCTTTATCCTCTGAATGCTGAACGCCAGGCAGGTTTACAACAAGTACCATGTTTTAACGGATTGCAACGGTATAACGCGGCCGGAAATCGAACCACTGATTACTCTTGACGAAAACACTTCCATATAAGATATAGAACGCATAGCCCATAGACCATTCCCATACTCACATGGCGATGGGTGTAGTGTGTTTCAGATATTGCATCCGATCTCGTCGGAGCCGTCGACACAGTCGTTGTAGTTGTCGCAGTGCCACCTCTGAGTGATGCAGGGGCCGTCATTACACTGGAACTTCCCTGGGGGACATTGAACTGAGGACAACAGTTTAATTAATAATTAATACGATATCATTTTGTGATTGTTTGGTTTTTGTTGTTGTTTAACGCCGCACTCAGCAATATTACAGCTATATGACGGCGGTATGTAAATAATCGAGTCTGGACCAGACAATCCAGTGATTAACACCATGAGCATCGATCCACGCAATTGGGATACGATGACATGCATCAACCAAGTCAGCGAGCCTGACCACCCTATCCCGTTAGTCGCCTCTTACGACAAGCATAGTCGCCTTTTTACGGCAAGCATGGGTTGTTGAAGACCTATTCTACCCCGGATCTTCACGGAGCTATAATAGTGTGAATATGAAGTAGTACTTGTCATTTATACAATAGGTTTTCATGGTGAAAATGGGCAATGAACCTATTTATATTTATTTATATTTATATTTGTTATTATATTTATTAAACAGGGATTACAGTGTACATTTATTACAGTATTTATAGCAATGAACTCATGTTTGAAAATATGCACGTGAATCGAGTTTAAATATTGTATTGACACCAACTCTCTGCTCACCAAGGTATTCTGATTGATCTATATGGGTCAGAGTTGATTCATGTTAATAAACATATGAGGTATATTCAAATAGGTAAGTCACTGAGATCGGAGCACAAAGCTCATTAGATGAAAGTCATGTCCCTCTTTCAATGCCGTCCACACGAATCGTGTGTACTGTGTGTCGTTACGTCGTTTTAACAAATGTTCCGGCTGAACACCACGTGGGGAATCGAACCCGGAAATTAGGTGAGACAAGATAACGCTTTAACTACTCTTCTACCCCGGCGTCCTCCGTACACAGTGCGTCTTCCCGAGACAGGGGGCACGGGTGGCCCAGTCGTCTAAGGCGCCGCGATTCGCTGTGCAGAGTTGCGTCCCTTGAGCACGCCAGAAACCTATGATTGTGGGTTCGAATCCCGGTTCGCCCCGATTATGTTTCTAGGTTTGTCAGCACCATACCCGTGCTCGTGGGTTTCACCGAAGTGGTAAATGGCTGAGACCTGCATCACTTCGGGCTTTCCTCCCACATTAAGCTGACACGCCGTGATATAACTGGAATACTGTTAAAAGCGGCGTTAAACCCAACTCACTCACTTCCCGAGACAAGAGAGTTCACTAGCTCGTATCACAGCCAAGCTAAAATACCACCCTTGTCAGTTCAGCCTAATTTTCTTGGCTTGGTCGTGGCGCCAATCCGTGTATAACGCGACTGGTGTCCGCTGTGAAAACACGATATCCAACCATATGGCTATTGTTTCGAATGACTTCACAAAATGGACTACCAGTGCATTCGGCCTGGTCACTCAGCTAACGAAAAGATTGAGATTTCACCCCTGACAGACTAACAAAATGACAGTAAAGGTTCCGATTGCCGCATTTCGCTCTTACAATAAGAGAGACATACAGACTGCACAGTATATCAAGTAACACTGCACATCCCTGTAAACATGAACGCTCAACAGATGTCGCTTGAAAAAAGCACTGAATTAGCGTCAGTCGTTCGAGTCGTTTGCACGCAAATATATTAAAGTACTTGGGCAAGTTGACTGACAACTTTGAAACACTTTGAAACACAGCCTCAACTCCAATTCTTCAAGAACAAATAAGAATTCCTCCGGTATAACGCATTCGTCAGCACTCGCATGTTTCCGGTACATTCGGCTTGTCCCGAGATGGGACGAGTTAGTCACGAATGCGGTATAACCGTAAAGGTATGATACGGGTCATTTTAGCCAACTGGAATGTCACACATTTGAAAGTTGAGGAAAATTTTGAAATACACTTATGTTTGTTTGTTTGTTTGTTATTCAACGCCGCACTCAGCAATATTCCAGCTACACGACGGCGGTCTGTAAATAATCGAGAATGGACAAGACAATCCAGTGATTGACACCATGAGCATCGATCCACGCAATTGGGATACGATGGCATCAACCAAGTCAGCGAGCCTGACCACCCGGTCCCGTTAGTCGCCTCTTACGATAAGCTTAGTCGCCATTTACGGCAAGCATGGGTTGATGGAGACCTATTCTAGGGGTAAATTCCCTCATGAAACTCATCGGTCGTGTTCATACGGCTGCCAAGGATTTCTTTCTTTCTTACATTACACATTATGGACTTATGTTGCAAGTGCAGAGCTATGGCTGAAATCAATGATAAGGGACGGATTTATGGAAATCAAAAGGGAAAGTCCAGCCAGTGAGCCAGTTCGTGACGCAGGATGTTTTTGTGTCTGTATCTTTGTAAATCTTTTTCCTACATTTACTTCTCCAGAGACAATCAGCAACTCTTCCTGAAACTCGCCCAAATCATCCTTTTGGCACATATTTGCCAAACCCCGTACATTTGGTGTTGACGTTGAGTTTTTTAAAAGTGTTGTGAAGTGTTATGTGAACACATTCGATCAAATTCATTTCTCAAAGTTTTACTTCTTTCTTAAACTGTGCATATCTAGAACGCCCAAATGATGCATTATTCTACTTGAATTATTCTTGGCTGCTCGCGATATTTCTTATTTACGCAGTTTGGGTTAAATAATGGTTGGTCGCTCAGGATATATCGAGTTATCGCAGTTCGGATTAATTAATGGTTGGTCGCTCAGGATATATCGAGTTATCGCAGTTCGGATTAAAAAAAGGTTGGCGGCTAAGGATATATCGAGTTATCGCAGTTCGGATTAAAAAAAGGTTGGTCGCTCAGGATATATCGAGTTATCGCAGTTCGGATTAAAAAAAGGTTGGTCGCTCAGGATATATCGAGTTATCGCAGTTCGGATTAAATAATGGTTTGCCGCTCAGGATATATCGAGTTATCGCAGTTCGGATTAAATAATGGTTGGTCGCTAAGGATATATCGAGTTATCGCAGTTCGGATTAAATAATGGTTGGTCGCTCAGGATATATCGAGTTATCGCAGTTCGGATTAAATAATGGTTGGCCGCTAAGGAGTTCGGGCTATAAAGAGGTTGGCGGCTAAGGAGTTCGGGCTATAAAGAGGTTGGCGGCTCAGGATGGTTCAAGTTCACGGAGTCCGTATGCAAGAAGTGTCACTGTATAAAAAATCACACAACTATTGTTCTCCAGCGACGCACCACATACCCTCACTCCAGGAGAGATGTCATCAGGCCTATTTAACCTATACATTGTTAAACTTTGTTTCCTTGTACTCTATAATTACAGATAATTATAGTTGTATATCCACTTTATGATGACCTCTAGCAGAGGATGGGGTCTAGATGGCTCTCTTTACTACTTAATTACATCATTATCACAAAGGATCGATAAGCAAGACTCAACTCTCACATTTTTTGCAATTATCAACTAACTATGCAAATCGTGACTGTCTATGGCCGACCATTCGGTCAATAAATACAAAGTTGAAATTAATGACAAAAGTACGCAATAATAGTCAAATGTTACGAATAAAAAATTAACGTTATATGGAAAGAATGAACAATGTGTACGAAAGAACGTCAGTGCACAAAAAGGACACTAAACTGCTAAAGGACAACGTTGACAATAAAGAACGCCAGATGGCGCTATAATTTTCAAACGTGGGGGGGGGGAGGGGTGTGTGTGTGTGTTTCCGGTGACTGCCATTTTTCGATGAATGTGAAAAGTGAATGAAAAGAATGGATGCCTAACTATGGTATTCTTGCCGATTTGGACCCAAGCATACATGTATAAGACATACCTGCAAAATAACTAGGTGTGGGGTAAGATAGATTCGTTGTCCACCGGCCCATCGGTTGTCATGGGCTGCTCAGAACTTGTTTGATCAAGGTTATGTCATTCAGGCCTCAGTAAAGCTTTCAAAAAGTGTTATGGTAGACATGTGGAGGACGTTTCCAAGTTTGACGCATCAGTGACAAAAATGATGTCCGAAGCAATAATTTTGAATTGTACCATGTGGTCCTGTTTTTGTTTTTTCAGATGAACAATTGACTTGCCTTTGCATGTGTTTGTGACGGGTGCCACCGGTGGGGCAGGATACGCTAACCTTTTCACAAACACCAGGTATCATTACTTTTTTTATAGTGATCCCTTAACACATGTTCATGAACTAGTCGGAATCGACCTTGTTTTATGCAGAGATTTCTAGAGGATATAGAAAGGGCTTAGTCGCTTTATGTACCTCTTGAGACTGGTAAACAGCTTATATTATTAATCACTAATCTGCATTCTGAATGATTGATGAACATATTTGATATATGATACATTGCAAAGCCCTCGCATCTATGGTAACAGCAATCAGGGCGTCGCGTGTCCTCCTGCCCCGATACATGCACTCGTGTCATTCCGGCACAAGGGTCCGGGTTAGAATTGAACTTTAACAACCTATGCTTGTAGTAAAAGGCAACTGACGGGATCGGATGGTCAGGCTCAATCAGTAACCGATGCTCATGCTGTTAATCACTAGATTGTCTGGTCCAGACTCGATTATTTACAGACCGCAACCAGCTGAGTGCGACATTAAACAACAAACAAACAAACCAAACAAATATAAAAAAGCCGAATATATTGTTGCATGCAGTTTAAGGGAAGGGTTGCGTGACGAATTTGATATGTACAGCAGACAAGCATTCGTGATCAATCGTGCCATTCCGGATCAAACTAACGGAAGTAGCGGAAAGGGGCGAGTGGTGCTGAATGAGTCAAGTTTCGGCTGACCGGATTGACTTTGGTATACTTACATCCGGGACATGTATACTCGTCGGAGAAGTCCCCGCAGTCGTTGTTGCCGTCACAAACCTTTGTGTTGGAGACGCATCGCATCACAGACGAACACATTCTGCGACCACGGCCGCATCGGTTGCGGTGACGCATCTGCCTGAAAGCTGTTAACAAACAAACGACCGATATTCCAGGAATGTGTCTTAGCAGTAAGTCTTTGTCAAATCACGTGACCCACTCTGCCTCCCAAGGGACTATATATATATATATATATGTGTGTGTGTGTGTGTATATATATATATATGTGTGTATTTATATATATATATTCTTTATTTTATTGCTCTTTATTAGGAGAGTTACAGACATTTAAATACTGTATTTACAAGAGTACACAAATAAGCATGCTTATGTTTAAAGTCACATGACCCACTCTGCCTCCCAAGAGACTAAATAAGGGGGAGGGGGATGGGGGGGGGGGGGGGGGGGGGGGGGGGATGGGGAGTGTCCGGTGACTGCCATTTTTCGATGAATGTGAAAAATGAACGAAAAGAATGGATGCCTAACTATGGTATTCTTGCCGATTTGGACCCAAGCATACATGTATAAGACATACCTGCAAAATAACTAGGTAGGGGTAAGATAGATTCGTTGTCCACCGGCCCATCGGTTGTCATGGGCTGCTCAGAACTTGTTTGATCAAGGTTATGTCATTCAGGCCTCAGTAAAGCTTTCAAAAAGTGTTATGGTAGACATGTGGAGGACGTTTCAAGTTTGACACATCAGTGACAAAAACGATTTCCGAAGCAATATTTTTTAATTGTACCATGTTTTCCTGTTTTCGTTTTTTAGGTGAACAATTGACTTGCCCTTACATGTGTTTGTGACGGGTGCCACAGGAATGTATCTTAGCAGTAAACCTTGTCAAATCACGTGACCCACTCTGCCTCCCAAGGGACTGACTATATATATATTCTTTATTTTATTCCTCTTTATTAGGAGAGTTACAGACATTTAAATACTGTATTTACAAGAGTACATAAATAAGCATTCTTATGTTTAAAGTCTATGCCTGCTCCCATATCAGAGAATGTAATGTTTCTTCACACGATCTATATATACTTTCAAATGGAAGAGACCTTTGACTGCAGCTTTTGCTCTACAAAGTTTCAAAGTCTCTACAGTTTCAGGATTTGCTGGGATTTGGGGCGTACATGCTAGCATACTGAAAACTAACTACTAGTATATCCCGCTTGTTGTGGAGAGCCACGCTGACTTCCACTGGAGTGGACCGCCTCCGTGGTCTAGTGGTAGAGCGTCCGCCCGGAGAGCGGAAGGTCCGGGGTTCGATACCCGGCCGCGTCATACCAAAAGACGTTAAAAGATGGTACTTGTTGTTACCCTGTCTGGCGCTCGGCTCAGAGTCAGTATACTGTGTCTGAGTGGGGTATTCAAGTTAAACTGCGGCATGGTATCTCAGTGAGCTAGCACTATAAATCGGCATCAGTCCGGACTAGTACAAGCAGCCACACAAACACACACGACATGCACGTCGCTATATAAGTGCAATAATCTTGGACGCGACGTTAAACCCCATTTCACCTCACCTCCACTGGAGTGAGTGAGTATGGTTTTACGTCGCGTTTAGCAATATTCCAGCAATATCACGGCGGGGGAAACCAGAAATGGGACTTCCACTATGCTACACCATAAATTATCTGAGATGCTCTGTCTGTGGACATATACAAACACCCTGTACTTTCACTGTCACTTGCACATGTCACACACACCCTGTACTTTCCCAGGTCTTCAGACTGCACACATCTGGATCACGAAGATTGCTGCTTGTTTCTTCGATTTGCGTAGAAATTCAGACCCAAGGTGAGTGAGCACGGATTTTCGCCGTATTTAGCAATATCTCAGCCACATCGTTATAGGTGAGAGAGTGAGTGAGTATGGTTTTACGCCGCTGTTAGCAATATTCCAGAAATATCACATTGTACCCATGTCGGGAATCGAACCCGGGTCTTCGGCGTGACGAGCGAACGTTTTAACCACCAGGCTACCCAACCACCCCACATCATAATGGAGGTAATAAGTCCGCTGCTTCTCTTCTCTTAACGGTCACTGTCCCTGTTGTCATACGGGCAACCTCAGTGAGTGAGTGAGTTGGGTTTAACGCTGCATTTAACAGTATTCCAGTTATATCACGGCTTGTCAGCTTCATGTTGGAGGAAAGCCCGAGGTGATGCAGGTCTCAGACATTTACTACTTTGGTGAAAATCACGAGCACGGGTATGGTGCTGACAAACCTAGAAACATAATCGGGGTGAACCGGGATTCGAACCCAAGACCATAGGTTTCTGGGACGCAACTCTACACAGCAGAGTCATCCGTGCCCCAGACAGACAACCTCGTTGACAGTAGATGTATATTTCTGAGCTATAATTTGATACATGGGCCTATTTGTATATATTCACATATGTTACTGAGTCAGTAATAGGTAAGGAATACAAGCAGTGTAAGTTGTCGGCATTAACATCCTACTCTGTCTACACCATGGTCTTTTCGTAAGGGTGTGTGTGTGTGTGGGGTGTGTGTGGGGGTGTGGGGGTGTGGGTGTGTGTGTGGGGGGGGGGGGGGGGGGGGTGTTTAATGATCAAATGGAGTAAGTATATAGTGGGTTTTTTTAGGGTCAGGTATAATGTACAATGACCCCCCTACCCCCACCGACCCGGTCCCCTGGGGAAGCCGTATTATTATTTCTTTGTTAATGTAGATTTATTTTATCTTATTTGATTACGTGTCCATAAACTGTGGACATTAAGGTTCTTTGCTAATCTATGCATTTAATGTTTTTCTCAAATCAGTATTTTCCCATGCACAAGGGGTTCAAATGTCCCGTAGCTTGTAGCGACTAAATGTTGCCCCTTCACAATATACCGGCACTGCAGACATATATTGATCACGTGGTCAGATAATGGAAGCTAACCGACTAACCTTCACATTGATCAACCAACTGCAAAATATGAACAATTCCCTACAAACACCGAGATCATAAAAATCGACAAAGTTTGAATAAAAATACCATTTATAAATTACTGCTGACATAAGCGTTGTTCACGTCGTGATGACGTGGTAAGATAAGGGTAGATCAAGATAACCGACTTACCTTCACAATGGCCAAGCACCAGCAAAATGAGAACCAGCCCGATGAGATACCTCGTCTCCATTCTGACTTCCTTTTGTTATGGGCTCCGGGCTTCACTCTAGCTGTATATATAGACGCTGTATGCAGAACACTGTTACCGTATAGCTGTATAAAGTATGCAGTGTGTAAAATACCTTAACACAATAGCTGCGTTATTGTCAAATCACAAATTACTCGTCGAGTGACTTGACATAGCTGGGCAGGACACCTGGTATCATTACTGATTTCCAGTGATCGGTACGTTTAATCTTTAGCGCTATTTTGCTTTCACGCCCATCGGAATCTAATTCGGTAGACAATCGAGACTGGTTTTGCTCTGGCGTTTACGTATGATATGAATGAGTGATGCGACCCTGAGCGAAAATATTAACCTCTATAGTAACAGCCTTTGGTGACATTGGCGTTTGTTTCAGTATAAGCTGTGTCTGAGAAGATGAAACAAAATCAACGATAACAAAGATAACGACGGTGGGACAAACCTATGATGGACACAGAACACTACCATCCTCCCCACAGTCATTTATGGAATTATGTCTGTGGAGGTTGTGGAGTTTTTGTAAAAATGTACTGTTTAAAGATGCCGCGGAGATCTTGGTCTTATTCCTGGAAGCATTCTTAAGGGCGCTTACGCCCTTGTCTGTAACTGTTTTCAAATGTCTGATATTAAATTATAATTAAGGGGGTTTATGAAGGCCGAAGAAACCAAATCACATGACTCTACACCGAACACCCACAATATATCCACGTGCACCTGTATGTATATCAATGTATAGCTAATGAAATATACAACTTGTAGGAATCATCCAAACACATTTCGTTCTCAGATGATAGTATGGATAGAATAAACTGCATTCTCTTATAATATTAAGAGATATAGCTTAATAGCGCCGATGCACTGTTGCTTACCAAATACATTCAATGTGAGCTGAAAGGAATATGTTTTGATATTGAATAAATAGAGATTATAATACGAACAAGTGTGTCATACTGATTTTAGGAAACAGAATTCTTGTATTTGCTAAGCGAGAGCGAGGGTTGCGCGTGAATTCTTACACGCGTTTCGTAAAATCAGTAAGGCACATATGCGAGTGTAATAATTTCTTTATTTCACATTATTTCTTCCTCCTTTGGAGATCCGCTTTAGAAAAATGCACTGATCAAGACCGCCGTCTTAGAAAACCACAAAAAATTCTTTAAAATAAAATACTATTCACAGTATCAGTGGTGAATAGTTAACATTTATTCAGATGTTTTCATGCAGAAGGCTTTATTCAAGGAAGGTAGTTCGAATTTTGTGCTTGCGAGTTTTGGAGGAAATGCGGTGTTTAAATATCCTGTCAGCCACATGTTTACGGAACAAGTTATCATGAGTTACATCCGTCACATGGATCAGAGTTACATACATAATGCTATAAATAGTGTGTCGTGTCTGACTGAGGCTCATCTGACAGCTTGACAGGTTGCATATTTACACACATATGGCGAACCCGTTTGTATGTATGCGTCCGTCCATCAGTGCGTGCGTGCGTGCGTGCGTGCGTGTGTGTGTGTGTGTGTGTGTGTGTGTGTGTGTGTGTGTGTGTGTGTGAGTTGGGTTTAACGCCGCTTTTAACAGTATTTCAGTTATATCGCGGCGTGTCAGCTTAATGTGGAAGGAAAGACCGAAGTGATGCAGGTCTCAGACGTTTACTACTTCGGTGAAACCCAGAAGCACGGGTATGATGCTGACAAATCTAGAAACATAATCGGGGCGAACAGGATTCAAACCCACAATCATAGGTTCCTGGCGTGGCCAAGGGACGCAACTCTGCACAGCGAATCGCGGCGCCTTAGACGACTGGGCCACCCGTGCCTCCATGTGTGTGTGTTAGTGTTAGTGTGTGTGTTAGTGTGTGTTAGTGTGTGTAAGTGTGTGTGTGTTAGTGTGTGTGTGTTAGTGTGTGTGTGTGTGTGTGTGTGTGTGTGTGTGTGTGTGTGTGTGTGTGTGTGTGTGTGTGTGTGTGTGTGTGTGTGTGTGCGTGTGTGTGCGTGTGTTAACGTGTCCAAATCAGTGTTGCCGATGTCTTGCAACTGATTTATGCAACGGGCCCCAAGTTTTAGGACACCAAATTTGAATTCAGTCTTGTTTTATTAACGGCTACACAGCCCGCGACCCTAGCTTCAACGGCTGCTCAATGCAAATATTCATTTGTGGCGAATGAGTGAAGTCATACTTGTAGATTGTCCTTTGTAGGTTTCGTTTAGTACTCAATATATGGTATTCTCTCAGTATCCTTAGTCCACATTCCACGAATGTCCAGTAAACAATCTATTTTGGGAAAGTAAAGTAAATAAACATTCCATAATTTTTGTGATTTATTTGTTGTTTAACACCGCATTCAACCATATTCAAGCCAAATGACGACGGCCCGTATATCGTCGTCTCTAGACCAGGCAATCCAGTGATTGATAATTTGAACAACGATCCACGCCGTCGGGCCCCGTTGACGCGTCATCCACCACGTGACCGAGTCTGACCACCCGATCCCGTTAGTCGCCTCTATCGACAAGGATAGTACACTGTAGATATCGCTGCAATGACATTACATCACAATGCTTTGCAGACCATTGTGATGTCACTGGTTACCATGACGTCACAATCAAATGACATCACTAATGGCTCTGCTACTGAAGTTGTTTGCAGTACTTTTTACACTGAAGACACTGCTAATTAATGTCTACAAATTGAAAAAGTTGAAAGAATGATGTTGGATGATAAATAAAATCTCACCCTCGTGTCTTTTGACATCAAATATATCAACACTCGTTGATAAAAGTGGCAAAAATCCTCGGCAAGCCTCGGAATTTTTCCACTTTTATCAACTCGTGTTGATATATTTGATATCAAAAGACACTCGGGTGAGATTCTCTATTTCTAACCCGGATCTTCACGGATGGTGAACCGTTGTAGAATTGATCCCAGTAACTTCATGTGGGATGAGGGGACTGATGGAACGGGTTGTCAGGCTTGGTGCTAGGGACCGCTTCTAACCAGGAATCCCAACCGGTTCCGACTCGTCGCCTCCTACAACTAACTGGTCACGTGTCCACCTGAACAAACACAGGAACATACGGTACAAGTCAAAATAGGGAATTCGGTCATTTTTCGCATGGCGCTCTTTCGTCTCTTCCATAGATAGAGAATGCTCGACTGTACCTGTGAAATATTGTGAAATGTAAACACAAAAGGCTGTAGCTGATTGGATACTGCTCAATATGAAGGGAAAGTTGAATTTTGAAAAAACAGAAATTCAGTCGTGCTCTCCACGTGGTTAATAGTGTCATTTGTGAAATAAGAGTCATTGTCTCTGTGTTATGAGGGTAATTGTTGCCAGATTGATATCATACAATTATGAGAAGAGTTAATTATTAATGACTTGACCCAAACTTGTTAGGAACGGTTAATAGACTGATCTTTACCCCTGCTGCTTAAACACCGCTTGACAACGACGGAATTAGTTTTGTTTGTTTCTATCATTGACTTGGATCATAGAACTTATACAGGGTAATTCTAAACCGCACCAGAGATTTACAAATGTGAGTCTTCTGACATGGAAGAAATATTGTAGAATTTACAATAAAAAGTATTTTAAGGTTAAACACGCTGCCTCGGATTTGGTTGAAAATATAAAACAGCGGGGTTCCATTTTCAACCAAACCCGAGGAGAAGTGGTTTATCGAACTTATGAACCTTTTAAATGCAAGAAATACCAGAAAAAAATATAAAAACATTGACATATCTTATAGTGAAACGATACAGTGTGTCGCGGTATAAAAGGAATTCCAACCAAGCGTGCGAGAGAGAAAATACGTGCAGCATGGAAACAACAAATTGAACAACAGTTCATTGCCTGTCTGTTGGTTGAGTGGGAAAAGAATTGTTACAGGTTCGATGATAGGATCAGTATGCATTGGGATAACTTAGCAGTTCAACAATTAGACACCATCCTCTATATCTCCAAGGCCCGCATTTCGAACGGGTCTTTAACTCATTTAGACCCCAAAACACGTTTAGCTGTTAAACACAATCCTTCACATGTTTAGACCTAAACATTCCAAACTTATGGGACAGGAAACGTATTTAGGATCTGAACGCTTTGTTTACAGTGCGGATCAATTCCCGTGGTTCTCGCGATCTCAAATTACCCGCCCTTGATTTTCATTAGCCAAATTTATTTGCCTCGTTGCTCACTCTAACGAACCAATCAGAATGCGAGTTACAAACCATCTCAATGTTAACAACATGGCGACCAGCCCCATTGATCACGATACAGTTTTCGAGAAATTCAACATTGAAAAACTAACTGACACGCAAAGGAAAGCCCTCAAAATTGTTTTTGATCGAAAGGATGTTTTCATGTCCACCTCTTTTACCCATTTCCTTTTTCTTTATCGCGACGTTTGATTGGTTGGTAATATGTTCAGTTTAAATCAAGGGTGGCACGTATGCCAGCGATGTTGGAGGGATTGTCGTAGAAATCATTCTCTTGGGAATATTTGGAAGTCTGGAGTTGCAAGATCAGGACAATAAGGTGGTTTAAAAGTAGTTCAAAGCTACGCTCGTGGATTGTAGCCATGGCAACGACTGATTTGTGCAAGGTTGTAAGAAAATTGTATAAATTGACATTCACTCAGTGTGAGTTTATTAAAGTAAAACCCTTCAAAGAGTGATGGCCAAACTGTATGTTGATACTATGTGTATGTTGTCTGACCATCTAAACATTTGAAACGGCGAAACAAATCTTATAGCTTATTGAAACACAATAATATGGGCTCTGGGGTAGTTACATGAGACGGGTCGCTAGCCCTTCTGTCGCTATCTCTTATAGTTAGAAGAGGTGAAATGGGGTTTAACGTCGCGCTCAAGATTTTTGCACGTGTCCGTGTGTGTGTGTGTGTGTGTGTGTGTGTGTGTGTGTGTGTGTGTGTGTGTGTGTGTGTGTGTGTGTGTGTGTGATTGTACTTGTCCGGACTGATGCCGATTTTATACTGCTAACATGATACCATGCCACAGTTTAACATGAATACCACACTCAGACACA